GCGCGCCTGCCCCTCCCGCTGACCCGTTGCTGAGTGCGTGCGCGAACGTGCTCGCGAGCGCGCCGGCGCCGGTGTGCACGTGCGCGTGCGGCGGCGTGTGCGTGCTCGTGTTCGTGTTCGATTGGGACTTTTCTCTCTCTCGTGTCGCCGTTTGTTGCGCTAAATGCTTCTCTAACTTCTCTAACTGCAAAAACATAAAAAATATTTAATCTCGTAACTATAGACATTTACAGCGAGAGATTTGTCTATTTTGCCTACTTCAACTTAACAAGAAAAATGCTAGTTTATAACATATAACGAGTATTTTTTACAGGAGGCTCCTTATAGTTTTGTACGTAGTTTGACTGTAGGGTAGTGTGTGGGGGCGTACCTTAAACTGTAGATGTGCGTGTTCTGTGGAGTGCGTGTGTGGGGGCGTGTGCGTGTGTGGGGGCGGGCCGAGGCCGTTCTCGCGACCGCAGCGACGCCGCAGCGAGCCGTTCTGCGGTCGCGTCTCCGCGCACTCCGCCGTGCCGTTGCCCACACTGCCCACACTGCTCCCACTGCGCTCCTCCTTACACGTCTGCTGATTCTATAACACATTATTATGTATAAAATGACCACAATTACATATTTTATATTAATCATCCGTCAACCCCACACAGAGCGGGATAGCATTTTCCTTGTGATAATAGTACTATGTTAATGTCATGCAATATTTGGTCATGCAACTAAAGAACGTGACCGAATCAGCGAAGATAAGGGAGCAGATTACTATACTGTTATGTATAATTTGTAATAGATAACAAGAATTATATGATCGCGATAAAAAATTATTTAATATCAGGTAAAATCAGTTACTATGCATCAATACAACATTATATTGAATTCAACTTCTAGTACAAAGTGAAAAAATACATATAAATCCATGTAATGTATTTTGTGTAATAGATCGAAAGGAATATGTGTGTAGAACCCAGACTGACCTCTAGCGCACTCTCTGGCAGCGCGTCCCTCAGCAGCTGGAAGTAGAACTCGTTCTGTGCGCGCACTTGTCGCTGGGTGCGCATGCGCAGGCGGCGGCCCACGTACGCCTTCACGCCGAAGCCCAGCGACACGGCCGGGTAGCCCACGCAGTGCGCCGCCAGCGGCCGGCACAGCTCCAGCTCGCGCGCCGCCCGCAGCGCACCCTCCACGTACACCACCGCGCAGCAGATCGCCACCGTTGGCACGCAGATGCCCTTCTCGCCCACTGCAAATATAACTACTGCATTTCTCTATACATAGATAAAAGCAATGCTATACATATCTAAAACAGCAAACCACCAGAAGAGAATCAAACTTTTAAAGTAGGTACAGCTTCACAGAGTATGTGCTAAGAGTGTTTTTATTTGGCATTTTTTATGTGGAAGAAAGTCCTCAACATGTTTGTCAAATACTGAAGCCTTTGTATTCACGGGTATCTTAGACCATCAAAATGGTGTTTAAAGAATTTAGACTTCTATATTATGGAATATAATTTTGTCAATACATTTTCAATATATTTTCCTCAAACGAATATAAGAACCGGAATTGATTTTGTGAAGGAACATGCAAGATATTCCTCTTCATATGTCACATATTTAAACGTCACAATACAAACAAGTAAAACGATAGCTATACTGGATATTTTCCCTAAACAAGAGACGACAAGAACACATTATTTTGTCTGTCGCCCGACGAATACTAACGCACAATATCATAAATAATTAAACCGATTATTGTTCATATCAAAATGCAATATTTATTAACATTACGCAATTTTAAAAATACTGTTAACCTAAAATTATAACGAATGAATCTACGCTCCTTTACATCTTAAATTACTTAGTAAAAGTTTTTAATAAAATCTTTGGGGAAAAACGATTAAATTCCTGACGTCATAAATACGTAGAGGCCTAAATATAATCAATAATTACGTATACGTGAGTCAATTAATAAAAAAAACTTCTTTAAACAACGGTCAAATGTCACTATACGTGACCTACAATCAAGAATATCACGTTTGGATTATAACGAGTAAACTCTGATAACATATACGAAAATGGTCACGTTTACAAATGTCTTCAGACGTATTTTTATCGTATTTTTAAAAGTACGTATATTTTTTTCCGAATGCAAAATTTTATACGTAAATATATAGGAAATTTGTTCTAACATAAACTACGATTTAAAAATTGTAAAAGCTAACGTATGTGAAGAGATGAATAAAAATAGATAAACAACAAATAAGACAAAAAGCGAGCGCTGGATCGGTCGATATATTTCTGGAATAAGCGTCGGCGCTACCGCACATCAGGCGAGTGCATTAATTTGACACGTAAACAAAACACGTTGCAACCAGCTGACATAACGTTTTTCTACAACTGAATGTTGTACACGTATGTAAAGGCCACATAGACTTGAAGAACTGAGCTGCAGCTCAACAAGTAAATTGGTAGCTCACAGCTCATGACTATGGTGGATGGATAACTAACTGAGCCGTTTGCCGCCAGCTGCCTAGTGACTCACAGTTTACAGCTCGAAACGCAAATCATAATTCTATACAGATACAAATTGAGCCGGTTCACTGATCTGTTTCACATGTGTGAGTCATGAGCTGATCTACAAGTCATTAATGTCAGTTGTGTTACCAATGCCTCTGTGGTACTCTATTGACACTTAGGTTGATAAATATCATCGTCTCTATTTTTTTCAGTGATAACATAAGGTACGATATGTTTCACAACAAGTTTCACCACAGTCGAAACGCGCAGTAAAACGACTACCAACAGTGTTCATTTTTATACGAAAAAAAAAATCATAGTGGCACGGAAAAGTTAACATCCACAAACTATGTCAAAACTGACTCATTTTACATTCATCTATTCAACCCCAAAAACAAATAAGCTTTTGAAATGTTTTATCGATTCTGAGAAACATGTCATGGTCTAAATATTTTTCTTAATATTATTTTTAGTTAAATGTATATTGTTCTTCTAGTTTTTAGTTAACTTAATATTAAAGTAAAATTGATAGTACTTGATAGGACATACAAATAAATGTATATTTTGTTCCTTAATCAGTTACTTTTGCATGCGTCGCAGTTGCATTGTAATAAATCTTTGGGTAATGTAAACAATAACTTTAGTTATCCGTGTGTAGGTATAATTAATCTCATGCCTACAACGGCAGACAATTTCTTATATAAGTAATAAAATTATTGACAATGTATATACTCATATAAAATCTCAGATAAAAAAGTACAGTTGAACCTGAATAAGAAAGAGTCCGAGGCATCGCAATATTTTTTCGCTCAGAGTTTTTTCCATTGCCCGAGTTTTTTGCATTTTGAGGTCGTCCTTTAGGACAGAACAAAAGCTCTAACTTATTCAATTTAACTATATTTTATTTGGACTAATGTGTACAAAACATGACTGTTTTTTATTTTTATCCATCAACAACTTCCTTTTAAATATGTCCTTTAGTCTAAAAATAAAAAAAAAGGTATACTTACATGTGACCCACACATACTGTACCCACACATAGGTACTGGCCGCAAAGAATATATATTGCAGAGGTATGAAGAAGTAACATATCATATCTGAAGTTAGAGCTATGCACAGGAAGAATACTGAAAATGCCTGAAATAAATTAAACAAATATTAGTACAATTATATTTATCCTAGAAATCTTGTATATTATAAAATTGCTTTATTTTACTATATTGATGATAATAAGATTCCTATTAAATGGTATTGGGTATCAGTCTATAAACCTAACTCCAAATCATTGTTTTCACTTTTTAAATGAATATATAAACAGCTAAACACTCATGCATAAAATCTCACAAAAGTTTGAATTATTTTTAAACAAATGTCTCGCCAAAGTGCAAAATTTTATGTTTTGAAATACATTATTGTGTTAAAATTAGAAAAATCTGAATAACTCACAAGTCCCTGATATCTAAACGAGTCATAGACGGATCGGAGCATCATCCAGAAGGGCCAGAGGAACTCGAACCTGAACTCCAGCATATAGTCGGCCATCACCACTGTAGCCCAGACCATAACAAATCTTAGGTACAGGAGGGAACTGCGAATAAATGAAAGCTTTCTATAAAACTACCGGCCAGTGTTGCTTTGCACAATGTAGCCTGTTATTTAGGGATAACATATTAGTCTAATTAGTAAAAAAAAATTTAGTCCACTAGTATTTTAATTTACATACAACATAATCTTTCCTCTTTATAATATTAGTTTAGATAAACTCTACTTCTTATTTCTGTCCTACATGCATTATTACATCATAGATAAGATTGTTGTGAAACTTTGGTATAGTTCTAAAGAGACCTGTGAAAATATTGAGCTTTAGGTAGGACTGCAATTTATGTTGTTTTCTTTTTTTATTCAATTTAAACAAAAATATTCCTTAATTGGTGTAAGCTTTTGTTTTCTCAACCACATATTTTTTTTCTAGTAGAATTTGTCACTGGAAACCACAAATAAAACCACAATTTTTTGTAATAATGACTAAGCTATAAATAAATTCTAGTGGTTTCCCCAAGTTGATAATATTAAATAATGTATTGATTTGTAATTGTTTATGTAATTCATAGTATTTTTTTGAGAAACCACCTGTAACACAATGAGTTTAAAAAATATTTTTTTAATATAATTCATTGTTTGTATGCACGCAAGCAATTTAAATCTGTCCTTGAATATACACGTACGGAAGTATCGATACAAAACTTTTTTCTTAAGCAATTGAAATAAAAGCACAGTAATATTAAACGAAATACAATAGGCGTAAGACTGCACATGAATCTGGAATATAAACGTCGGGCATACATGTGAACAGTATTGCTTTTTTCTATTTTTTATCACAACGTAAGTAAACGTGAGACCGAATCCACAGATGTTACTTTCTACCCACACATTTTTGTTCTCACCACACTTTGTCTTAATTTCTTCGGTTGAGTTTATTATTCACAATGTTAAATACACATTTAAACACTCGGCAAGTAAATTATTTATGTAAAAATTACTTACTTTCCATACATTCCCTCGGTGATTTTTGTGCGCTTTAAGGGGCGCCGCATTTTGCCAGTATCGGCATTTCGCCTCTTCATATTTTTACCTCCACGGTGTAATTTACAATTGCAGGCCCCCAGTTTTGAAGATAAAATTACCTACAAACATTAAAAACAATGATCGCACAGTTAGTGCTTTTTGTTGTCAATCGGCCTACGTCCAGAATTTACGAGGGAGATAAAATATCAGCAAGCTCTTTTTGCGTTCATCGAAAGGTGTTGCTATCATCTATGTTTTATTTTCCACATTTTCGAGGCTTATAAGAAAAAGCGTATAATATGAAACGAATGAAAATTTTTAGGTATTAGTATGGCCTAACCAAAAATATAAAAAAATCCTTACCTGGATGGGTTATTTATTAGATCAATACGCTTTCTTTATTAGATTGATTTCTAATGTGCGCAAAGGACTTAATTCCATATTTTTATGCATTACAGCTACTTTTATATTCCTGGTTAAACTGTAACTACATTAAAATTTGAATTAGTTCTATCCCCCTCTAACAATAATTATACTCTTACGGAATATTAACTTTTATTGTATTTTGAAACAACAAATAATTAACAAATACTTTTAAAATTGGCAGTCACAATTATAAAAGTTGTCCAAACAAATATAAAGTGCGGGTATCGTCCTATAATGGAATTATTTTACCTAGGATTCTTTTTTGCTTACTTATAATATGTTGCTATAGTTTTTGCCCACGACACCGCCCGTGTGGAACTTAAAGAGAGAAAGTGCAGATACACTCAAACAACTTACAAATCCACAATATAAGTGAGATGTTAATCAAATATTCCTTATTTTAAAATTGTTCAAATAAGTCTTGCAACACATTTCCGTGGTTATCTGTAATTATGTTCTTGGCACAGAGTAGCAAGTTAACCATAGTTACATCGACAACTTGTTGACATCCAACCTAAATGTCATTTTTGAAAACAAGAAATGTTTACGTCTTTATGTTTATCCATTAACATTTGTGTATTAATTTTATTTATTATATTAAGTAATGATAGATTTTAAGATATATGAAATTCTGAAAAGGAAACTTTATAGAACTAAATAATTAATGTTAGATTTGCAGTGTAATTGCTCCATTGGAAAATATTAAAGTTGATAACAATGGCTCAACAACCACTTATAAATTCTGTACGCAAATATTTAGCTGCACATCATATGTTTGCTGTCGAGGAGTGGCTCTCTGGGTATGTCAAATTGTTAATAATTAATAATAAGTATCAACAACAATGTTAAAAATATTGAGAGAGGACTCGTAAACTTAATAGTCCTAAAGTTTTAGTTATTTACAATTTGCAGATTTGTTGAGTATTTAATGGAAAATAACGCAGAGTACAGTGAGCGTGAAGTTCAAACTTTAGCAAAAGAACAATGGCTGTTGAATGACTTAAAAGACATATGTCCAGGCTGCCTACCACAGGACCTCAGGAGTCAATCCAAAACTACACTTACTGGGAGATTTGTGCTTCAAATTATTGCATGTGTTGATATTGGTAAGAAGACCTTGACTGATATACCAGCATAAAAATATACATTACGAAATCATAATCTCTACCTACTCAGAGTTCACAAGGATTAAAGATATCATTGCTTCTCAGGAACACCTGCTTATCAACAATATTTAAAGCTGCAAAAAGTGAACACTGAAAATATTGAAGCAACAATTAATCATGATGAGAAAATCCCCAGCCACAGGTTTATAATATATTTTTAAAACTGTTGTATTAACAAAAGTTGAACATATAGTAAATACCAAATTTTTATAGAAAGTACATAACTGCTTACTAACAATTTTCAGAATGATAAAGTTGTACTTGACAGATGGTGTGCAGGAAGTGTCAGGTATAGAATACAGACCTATGAGAAACTTGAGCTGTGACATTACACCTGGATGTAAACTATTACTTAAAGGTAGTCCTGCTATTATTAGCTTTTCTACTAATAATGTTACTACTAAATCATATTTTTAATTTTTAAATAAATAAATATTACTATGTTTTTGGTAGAAATCTAAAAGTTGTGAAAAATGAGGGTATTTCTATAATATTCAACAAATATTCAAATAAAATCATCTTCTTCTATAATGTAATCAAGATTTGTTAATGTAGTTTAGTTCATTATTATTCCTTTAGTTTAAGAAAGCAGTGGAGCAATCTTTGCAATAAATGTAGTTTAATTTTAAAATTCAGGTCCAGTGGACTGTCGTCGTGGAGTCATGTTACTGACTGAGCATAACATTGAGTTGCTGGGCGGTGAGGTACAGGAACTGGCAGATGAAAACTCATTGGTTCAACTGTTAGCTTCCAAGCTCGGGCTCCCTGCCACTAAATGTAAGGAGATTCTCACTTTAAAAACTACCTTCAAGATTATTGTAGATTGCAAATTTCAAATAATGTTTTGTGGGTTATTTCCAGCACAAGACAACAATGCATTACAAAGACCTGAGAATTCAACAGTCCAAACATCTTATAATGGTGGGGCACAATTTGAACCAGCATTTGATCAAAGAGTGAACCAACAAAATAGAATAGAACCAAGAGATGAAGAAGCATTTGGCACATTCGATGATGACATAGATGTGGACGAAATTGCAGCAATAGAGGCACAAATATTAGACAATCCAAATAAAAGATCGTTGAATGAGAATGATTCTAGACCGGATAAAAAAGCTAAAATAATTTCGAATCCAGTTAATAGTGTTGATGATTACCCTGATGATGAAGATATAATGTTTGAGGATGAGGAGTACCTGAGAGTTATGGAGGAACAATTGGACGCACAGATTCTTGAACTTACGCGCATAAATAAAGGTCCAAAACATGTGTCACCAGAACCATTTGTTTATATTAAACAAATTAATGAACTGAGTGAAAGTGAAAGAGAGGGCAAAGTGTTAAAAGTTAAAGGACAGATTATAAAGTTATTGTCAAAGTTAATGGTGAGTAAAGAGGGGTGGAGTTTGAGGTGTGCCATTATTGATGGTACCGGCAGCTTGGATGTGGACTTCACCAGCGACGTGTTGTCCAAGCTGGTTGGACTCACACCAACAGAGATGAACCAAATTAAAAAACAAATTGCTTCAAAACCAGAACTCAAGGAACAAACAATCACGGTAAGTTATCTTTTAGCACAGAATCAGGTGCTAAAGAAAGATAATATTATTCTTTTATTTCACACATGAGTTCGAAAGGACAGGGTTATGATGTTCTTTTCTTTAAGACTGTCTTCTTAACATTTCATCTTGACATAAAAGTGATTTTCAGGCTCTAGAAAATGCCAAAAAACGTCTACAAGTACTATATTGTATAATAGAGCTGACAATGTCTAACGGTCCGAAGATAACGCGACTCATACCATTCGATACCTCACATGTCGATCAGCTGAAGAAAAGGCAAATAACATTGTGAATAGGTAATTATTTGTAGTGGAAAATAAGTTTGCTTTTAAAAAGTATGCAAGATGTAATATACAGGGTGTCCCAAAAGGTTACGTACATAGGAAGGGGGATGAAAGGGGTGGTCACAAGGGTCACCAGAAAAATAAAATTTCCCCTCTGGGTATTAAAAAAAATAAATGGCATTTTTAAAAACTTAAAAATTTTACACCTTCTGGGGCAATTTTGTAACCAATGACCTACAAATATTGCTATATAAAAAAAAAAAGTTATTATGTTATCGTCAATAACCCTTTATCAATATGAAATAAAAAAACAATACAACTAACAAAGATTTTAAAGAAAATTAAAATTGCCCCAGAAGGTGTAAAATTTTTAAGTTTTTAAAAAATGCCAGTTATTTTTTTTAATACCCAGAGGGGAATTTTTATTTTATTTTTCTGGCGACCCTTGTGACCACCCCTATCATCCCCCTTCCTATGTACGTAACCTTTTGGGACATCCTGTATAATAAATAGCTATATAGAAAATAAGATAATGGAAAATGTATCTGTAAATATTAACATTTATATATCTCATGCTATATGTATAAATAAAACAACATATTGGGTTTTACAAACTATATTTTATTTAATACACCTTCTCGTAATTCAATCGTAATGTGGTTCAATATACAAAAATTATCAAATACATATAATATTAACCTAAGACAGGCAACTAGTTATATGAGACAACCCCAACGACAAACAACACGAAAACGAACCTTCTGCTTGAAGCTTAGGGTGCGATTATTATATACTATGTATATAATGAAATACATAGACAAAATATAAAGGCTACCAAAGGACAATATCATCCAATTTTTTTTAGAGTAAACAGTTTAAATTATTAAAAAGCAGCAATTCAAAACAAATTAATATATTATCAATGTTCACTATTTTTAAAATGGTAATTCCAATTTGTGATCAAAGTTGCTTGATAGTATATGGAAAAAAAATAACATTAATTTTTGAACCGAACATCAAAAGCTTTAAGAAAATTGTCATGTTATGCTTTTAAATTATATTTGTAACATTTACAATTCTATAGAATTAAAAAAAAACCACCCTAAGCTTCACTTTCCATCAATACAAATGTGGTTACAAATTGAGCACTCAACGTATTTAAATAATATTAAACTTAATCTGTGATCATAACTTTATTAGCAGAGCGATAGACATTAAAATGTTGCTAGTTATAAAACTCAAATAGTTACAATTATGTAATTTAGTGTTAACTTTGGCTACGTATACGGAAAGCTTCGACTGTAAGCGATCAGACAACTAACTTGTGTACATAAGGAACTTCATTTTGTTTATATAAAATACATGAAAAAATTTAAAATAAAATCGAATTAAAATAGTGCATCTAATACAGATTAAAAGCGACGTCATGAAATACGATAAATAACTAAGTCATGCTAATTTGATAATGATTACTAGTTTCTTAATTTATATTTTGATACATTGAAACATGGTCACCTCAATGGAAGACTATGCCATTGGAAACAGACAGAAAATAAATAATTACTAGTGCTAATTAAAACAACTGTCGCACAGTACGCGGTTGTCAATTTGCTTGACTTTTCGAAGAAGACTGGCAACACTGCGTGTTGTCTCTGTCGTACATACTACAAGTTACGTATTGTGCGACAGGGACAACGCTACACATTAAAATGAAAAGATCATCATTCAAATATCGTTGTTCTCGATGGATATATTTATTCTTAATGAGATAACTTTCCAATATTGAATCAATAACATCGCAATTATTATTCGAAATATATTTTATGACAGAATACACTATCGCTATACGGCCAAGTAACTTGAAACGCCAAAAGGTATTTGCACTTACATACTGTTCCTGAAATACATATACAGGGATTTAAAAAAATGTAATTATTAATGAGAAAATCATAATAAAAACAAATCGACACGCAATATAACTGTACAGAATGTTTCTGCAACTGACATTATTAATGGGTAAACGGTATATGATGGATATAAAACAGTATTTGGACATATGCTGTGGGCTCCGTACACAACAGCGGTTTGTGTACATCGGATGCCGTCTTTATTGCCGCTCGATACGTCATTTCGCTATTCTAGATGAATTTAAAACCAATTCACAATCGACTATTGTGTATACTAAATATTAATATAATTTAAAACTCATTACGAAAAAAGCGATGTACGTTATCGCCAATTTAAAATAGAAACAAAAAGCTGGTTATATTAAAACGCGCAAGCTATGTACAGAGCGTTTCGTAAACATCCGTCACGTGAGGAGAAGGGAGTCGTCGTATCCCTCTGTGAAGCGTCAGTCTTCCACTTAAATGCCATCCATTCGTAAAGCAAACAAACCGTTAGGCCCGCCGATTATGCACGTGCACACCCAGCTGGAGAATTTATAAAATTCTCTCGTAGAAGAGGAGGTAAGCCTGCGCCCTCAGCACCTTCTCCTCCGTCACCTCGGACACCATGCTGTCGGAGACGTAGTACCACTTGCCGGCGGGCGGGTCGGGCAGCGGCGCGGGACCCTCACCCGACTCGTAGCCCGACAGGTCGGACTCGGAGTCTGCGTCGCCGTCGCCGCCGCTGGAGGCGGGGATGTTGGCGCTCTTGGGCAGGAACCACCAGCGCGGGTCGGCAAGCTTCACGGGCTGGCGCACCTTCACGTAGGCGACGTAGTGTCCGCCGTGCATGCCGCCCGAGTGCTCCACCACGCCGTACAGCGAGTACAGCAGCTCGCTCTGGCCGCGCGCCACGTTCGGCAGCTTCTTCAGCTTGTCCATGGCGCAGAACGGCGCCAGGTCCAGGATCGTCGGGAAGTCGACGTGCTTCGTCATCTTCCGGAACATGCAGCGCGGGCCGATCTGGAACCGCTTTAGGTGGAGGATGAGGATGGCGGGTGGACTGGACACCAGGAAGCGTTTCGTGGCATTCGTGTACACGGTCTTTCCATCCTTGCCGTTGATCCTCTCGGTGCAGGTCTCGCAGCCCACCTTGTTGTTGCCCGTGAGCAGTTCCAGCGCCGTGAACTGACTCAAGCAGGACTGGATGCTGCACTCGTCCTCGTCGCAAATATATCGAGGCGACATGGGACTTTGGCGGTTGAGGGACAGGAAGTCTCTTTGATTTTTCTCAGGTTCGACGTTTATTTTCGGGCGTGGAACTGCCGGCGGGGCATACACGGGGCTCTCGACGGGGGTGGGGGCGGGCTCGGGTGCGGGTAGCGGGATCGTGGGCTTCGGCAATTTCGGGTCGTCCATATCTAATTTCAACTTGTCCAATATGTTGGTAACGTCCTGGTGGTTGCTGACATTGAAGGGCGCGGGCTCCGGTGGCTTGTTCTCGGGCAGGGACTCGTAGCTGCTCTCGCCGCTGTGCTCCAGCAGGCTTCTGGAGCCCTTGACGCTGATGCCGCGCGTCACCACCTCGTTGGTATACTCTGGAGCGAAGGCTATTCTCGACACGGGCCTCTCGTACTCGGTCTTCACCGGCGACAGCTTGCTGTGCTGCGGACTCGACAGATCGAGATTTATTTCACTGGAGAGGGAGCTATGACTCCCCAGCTCCTTCCCGTTGATAGGCGAGTCGACGTTGTCGACGGTTTCGGTGGAGTTGTGCTTGGTGGCCTCCGGGCTGGCGACGCCGGAGTCGGGGTTGGAGAGGTTATCGAGCGAGGCGAGGGACTTGTACTCAAGCGGGATGGCGGTGGTGGAGGTGGAGCAGTTCACGAACTCCCTGTCCTTGTCCGGGGCCTCGGGCGTGCCGTCGACCTTCTCCTTGTCGTGAGGGGCGGGGCTGGCGCGGATGGAGTCCGAGCTGACGACCTTCTCCGAGTTGTATCCGGACTCCATGTGGTATGCGGCGAAGTTGGCGGCGGTGTGTGCGATGGCCTGGCTGCCGACGGAGGCGCAGTGCGTGTCGGCGCGCCGCGGCAGCTCCTCCAGGTTGTCCTCCACGTCCGCGTCCGACTGCTCCGACGACGACTTGCCCTCCTCCTTGCTGCCGTTCGCCTCGCCAGCGTTCTTTTCTTTGTTTGAATTACCTGAAATTGGGAATAAGTTTGTGTTAAGACGATGTTAACATGGCATTGAAAGTTATAAAGCGGTGCTCTTTCTGCATATACTTAAAGAAATGTCAGAGGTAGTATAACAGAAGACAGTTCCATGCAGAAAAGCAAATGATATACGCATACATAGATATGTATATGCAAGCCATGCTGTTGTTAGTACCACCTTTGCTTTTCCGCGCGGCTTTTCTCGCGGCCATCCTCTCCTTTTTGAGTTGATGTTTTGATGTCTTATTTTCTTCTTGTACATTGTACATATTCTCCTCTGAAAATGCGTCATTTTATTTTATGAATACATTGTTTCAAAGGATCATTTTAATCTCTTTAGCTTGTGTCAGCCAATAATTTTGTAACATTATGCTTCACATACAAAATGCACAAATCTTGATATAAAAAATTACATATTCTTTGATAAAAAAAACAATGAAATGGCTGTCAATAATAAGATAGTTTACATTGGAAACACAAGTTGAAAAAACATTATAATTTAATAATTGCCTTTTTCTTTTTAATCAATTTTTTCCTATTTTAGTTCGTAGGTAATTTTCATAACATTCTTAAAAGAAATTTGACATAGATTATATAGTGTACTCGAAAATATTTGAAAAATAAACAAAAAAAATATAATGACACAACAATAACATATATATAACACAAGCAAACATAATAACAAACAGAGCGGCATTCAACTTAAATAAGGGATGCAATATGAATAGTAACAAATGTCAACAATACACACAATATAAAGCTTCAACACAACATTGCATTACAACAAATATATCACAATTAAAAAATCACTATTTTATTGCTGTGAAAAAGGAATTACACAATTTTCTGTATTGAAATTAAATTATTTAAATATTCAATTAAATTTTGCCAAAGGATAAATATTTATCAATTCATTCATACTTGACGCCTTTACAGACTTTATTTAGAAAAATCCATTTTATATTCGAAATCTTCACTATCGAAAATTTTATATAAAACACGAAATTTTAACCATCTTAATTTTTTTCACTTATAGAAAATCACCTTTTATAAGTATTGCTACAAAAATATGCAGAAAAGTATGTCGCAAATACGAATGTAGATAAACCTTCGCCATTTTATGACATCACAGGTTTAAAACGGCAAATGTCAGTTTTCAATATTTTTTTGTTGTTGAAATCCATACACATAAAAGTGTATACATACCATTGGGTGTTTTCCTCCGCACGAGTGCTGGCGGCTGCGGCCTGGTGGCGGCCACAGGCAGCGACAGGTCGAGGAAGTACTCCGCGCGGTCCGACTGATGGAAGCACTCCTGGCACTCCAGCGTCGACACCAGGAACCCTCGGAACACCTACCGCAACAAACAGTATCACATTAACACATTTAATAATATCATTCATTTTGCGAGTTAATTTTCATAAAAAAAAATATATCGTAAATATTTTTAAGTATTTTTTTGAGTTATGAAAATTAATAGTCTTGCAAACATGGCAACATTAATGTATTCAGTAAACAGTCAATTCTTTGCAAAGCCAAACACTATTAGACAATTTGACAAAACCTAACATTTAAAAAATATTTACGAAGTCTTTTTGTCATACAATGAAATATTAATAAAAACGTTAAAACAAACCTGCTCAGGTCTAAGCATGGTGTCGGAGGCCTGCTGCCCGTAGAATTTAACCTTCTGCTTGACCTCTCCATCAACTTTAGCAGGGTCCACCTTGGAGCTCATCCCTAGGCTACTGAGTATTACAGACTGGTAACGACGCAAGTCTTCTGACCTAAAAATCATAACAAAATATTATTTATTATATTGTTATTTGAGTCATCAAAGGGAATGTTTGATATGTTTAAAGGCGAGAGTTCAAATAGTTTGAACTTATGTTTCTTATTATACAATATTATGTTACTTATCATTTTTTTTTATTTCTTGTCCTATTATCTCCTTACTTATTAATCACTATTATAAAATATTTTATTTATATAATACATGAAACCTTACACTTTGATAAGGCTTCTTAAGTATGCTATTCTAAGTTAGCAATAAAGTAGGATAATCAGTATAATTAATTTTTAACAAATAATGTGCATATTTATATAACATACTGATTCTGATAATATTACATAACTTAAGAAAAAAATAATGTATGTATACAATAGAATATTCTATATTGTACCAAATAACATTGCACACATCAAAATTAGACAAATTGCTGAGACTTTACATGTAGACAAAATAATCACATCTATGTGTTCAACTATCAATAGATTGCATTATGTTAATCATACTAATATTGTATATGGTATAGATGTAGAACATAGCCTAGAAGAACAGTCGCAGGCAAAAGCTATGTTAACATAAGTCAGTAAGTTATACAAGGAGCAGTAACCTGACAGCCTCCAGTAGATGCCTGAGCAGCTCATGTGCATCATGCTGGTCACCACCTCCAAACTGTGGCAACTTGTTGACCAGAGCTGAGAGAAGTTTTCTCGGAGTATACACACCACCCTCACCTGATACATAACAATGACATTGCTATATTTATTTATTAATTCATCAATAACATACAATTAAAAATATTTCAACTAATACCATAAAATTAAGTTACTTTCTTGAATTATATTGATAAAATATAAAGAAAACTCTGTAAGACATAAGCAGAGTTTTAATATCTTTTTTGTGTTCAACAATCTGCTGGTTGCTTTTGAAAAATAGGTCAAACGACTCATTATGTCCTAAATATAGAAATATCATTCACCTTACAAAAACTCTAACATTTGATTTTAGTACATGTTGTAAAAAATAAAGCAGTTATTCATAAGATTGTTTAGAAAGTTAACTGCTTAAAAAGTTACTCATATTAAAATTAATATTTAACTATGAAGTTCCATTGTCAGAGTATAAGTGCATATTAAAATATATTGTTATATGTTTTATCAATAAGAATGATATTTTGTCTTAAACTAGTATTTCAACGTTGCAGTCCCATTTGAAATATTACTAACCTGCTTGCAAATCAGCCAAAGTTTCCGATAGAGTTCTAGTTAATGTTCCCCACTCTCCCAACTGTCCCGTTATTGGCGGCAGTTCCACTTCCTTCCCATCATCTCCATCTACCCTTAGTTTGAGCTTTCCCCCTGGCAGTGTGAACCTCTCACCGGGTGTAGCCATCTCTTGGAGAACATCTTGGAGGTAAGGGGTTTGCACTAAGCATTGCATCACTGAATTAAAGAAGCATGTGTTCCCTAAGTTTGAAAGTCCCCTTACTCTTGGTAGACTCAGAGCTATTGCCTTTTCTTTACCTTTTGAAAATTGATCTGTTTTGATTATTGATTCAACAGGCAATGGGACATCAAAGTTTTTAGGTTGACTGTCAAAAAGAGGCTCAAAGGAAGGCAACAGCTTGTTACAGGAGGCTTGTCTTTTAACATATTCAATACACTCATGAAGCTTCTTGGAACTAGAAGCGGTCACTTCATTATTACAACTATAGCAGTAGATCTCCCAAGTTGTTGTATTGGCAGTGAGGGAGTGGCAGTCCGAGTGCGGCGTGTTGAAGTGGTTGAGGGCGTGCTTGTTTCGAGTGCGCCCGCACAGCTGCGACCCGCACCTTAGACACATCCAAAGTGTTACATCTTCTTCAAAATTTGGATCCGGTACTTCTATTTGGTTACTCTTCTTACATTCGGAGCATTCTTTTTCGAAGCCTCCTGCTTTCAATGACTTTTTGAGACGTGTTAAGTCCACCGCCTTGGCGACGTGAGGGCATGCGGACTTCACACTCTCGTCGCAAGACTCTGTGGACTCGTCGCCGTTTTCTCCGGGATCGCTTTGTCTCTTTTTCTTCACCATCGTTGCGTTAATTCGGGTCGCTCCGCCTGTAACGTAACGAGATACACTCGTAATAATAACCACACGAACACAAAAAGAATAAAATGTCAAATCTGTGTCGATTGACTTCGCACGCGTGACGACGCATTTTCATCGAGAAACTATCACATTAAACGCGTTGAATAATACCAAACATTTAGATACAAATTGAATCAAAACTTACTTTTACATACGATGGTAAAAACCTTATGATAGTCGTCGTGAATCCAAAAACTGCTAAGATTTTTGTCACAAAAGTAAACCACGGCCGTCAGACATCTTGACAGTGTTGTCAGCGTAAAAAATTAAATCTGAAGTTTTACACAGCTTATACAATTTCAGAAAATAAGTATCGATTTACATTACGCAAAAAAACTTGTACCTACAGCACTAAAGTGTCAGCTGGCACTCTAGCGGCGAGTAGCTGAATCAATAATCTGAAACGTCAACATGACCGTGATGGTGATGGAATTTGATAATCAAGTTGTAATTTCATATTGATTTTTATTATAAACTAGCAGTCGCATTTAAAGATCTTTGTGTCCCCAAACATAACACTGAACAGAGTGTTTTATAAATATGTAGAGTGTTTCCGTGTTTTCGTTGTTACCTAGTCGTTAGCAAATAAAATCAGGATGTCGCTGCCTGGGAATGGAATTTTCGTGGTCCAGGGTGAGATGGCCATGCTGGTCACTGCCATGCGACGCAGCACACGATGGGGCTCCCACTCTTTCCCAAACGAGGAGTACGACGTCCTTATGAGAACTTTCCAGGACCTTAAGACAATATTGAACCAAGTAGAGGATTTACGACTTCTTGATCCACCGACGTATTTAAGCCCCTTTCTGGAGGTAATCAGGAGTAAAGAGACGACTGGGCCGGTCACAAGCCTTGCTCTTTCTGCCATACACAAATTCTTATCATATGGACTTATAGGTAAGATATTTTAAAATTAAATTATCTTCCTATTAACATGAACTGGTCTGGATGTTAAAGCGAACTAGTGAGAGAAACAGTGACTTAATTACAGAAAATATAACTTTAAAGCAATCAAAATGATACTGGTTTTGATAAACACATACATTTAAGCTAAATGAAATGTTCCAACTCTGACAAACATGGTTACTAGAGAATACTATAGTTTTGGTTTATTTTAAGGTCTTTGTTTATTTACTCAGATTATTTGTATTGATAGACTAATTTGAAACTTGCTACACATCTGTCACTACAATGACAATTCAATATTATATGAAAAAAAATCAAGATATTTTTTCATGTTCAATATTTTAAAAAATAATAATTAATGAATATTTGTCGGTTTGGTTTCTTTCAGATCCAACACATCCAAGTGTGCCGGCCACTGTAGAGGACATTGCAGATGCAGTCACCCATGCTCGGTTTGTCGGCACTGATCACTCCTCTGATGGTGTTGTGCTTATGAAGATTTTACAAGTAAGTAAAGACTCTTTCATTGTATAATAACATCAATATAGATTGATGTTATTATACAATGAAAGAGCTTGATAGCAAGCTTAAAGATAACAAACTATTTGTTTTATTAAAAATTTACTGATTTTAGTGAACCAGCAGGTTCCACATTTCTTTTTCAACTTATTAATTCTCAACTTTTGGCCCCACTGGGTTTTCAAGGAATATTAATAGTTTAATATCCCTTAAAGCTGTAAGAATATTAATAGTTTAATAAGGTGTTGTTAGATTAGATTCAGATTGATTCATAATTGTTGTAGGTTCTCCGCACTCTTATGTTAAGTCCAGAGGGCGCCATGTTGACAGATGAGAGTGTCTGTGAGATAATGCTGAGCTGCTTTAGAATATGTTTTGAAACCAGACTAACAGGTAACTTATATTAAACAGATTATGCAATTTTACTTTTCTAAAAAGCTAGCTTGCTACTATAATACATTGATAAAAGCTACGCCCACAACTCTGTCTACATAGAATTAGCCTAAATGTAAAATTTTAGGGAGATGCATCGAGCCATTCTGGAGATATGTAATAACAAACTTCCATCCATCCATTCATAAATCAATCCACCCATTCATCTATGTAAACTTTCACATTTCAAATATTTCTGTTTTAGTTAAATTTTGTTCACCTTTGCAAGGCTTTACTTACACTTCTTACCCTCCAGAGTTACTCCGGCGCAATGCAGAGCAATGCCTGCGCGACATGACGCAACTGATCTTCATGCGGCTGCCGCAGTTCCCGCCAGAAGACGCCGGCGCGCACCTCTCCACGCTCAGCCTCTCTCTTAAGAAGCGAGACAAGTCCACTAAGAAGAAATCTATGAGTACAGCACATAGTAAGTAACTAAGGCCATCTACACACTAAGGGGAAAAAGTGATAATTCAACTTTGGTTAGGCAGACTTTTTAAATGAATGTCTTTCTTTATAAATAAGTTATCTATTTAGATGAAAAAAAAGGTTTTTTTTTTCTTAAAGTTATAACTTCCGCATACTAGATGGCAGTAGTTGTAGTTTGGACGGCGCTATGGTTTTGCTTTTCTGGGACTATATGATTCCGTACACAATTATTATTCTCAAAAAAGGGTGTTTGCCGCTTCGATGGCACGCGGCCGGCAACGGTCAGCGGGGTATGGTTATCAAGACATACCCAACACATAATTTTTGTGATCGCGAGGCAGTTGGCTACCCATATGTACCGGCGCTTCGTTCGTTAAACTTTTAAAAAAAATTGTCTGTTTCAACAACCTTTCATGTACATTCGTCCACAAAACTACTTATTGATAACCTGATCTCTAAACAATTTGTTATTCTTTATATTTAGATCATAACGTATTTATTTTCGATAACAAAATTAGTTTAGCAAAATTATGTTATCTATAAAAATGCGTCATTCAGGTTCAATAACTCGAAACATCAACACATCGATTTTAAACTATTATTTTCTATTTTATTAAAATAACATTTACTAAATTATAAAATAATAACCACTAATGTTAAAATGTAAAACAATATTCAAAAAATGGGAGTTTTAAGAAAAACAGTGAGAATAGTGATATGTGATACTTTGGCAAAGTTAATTTTGCGTAACGAGAGAACAGTGTTGTATTTGTGGAAGTGTTTTGTGAAATTACTTCTATTCAAAAGTGAATACTGTTTGGAAACAGTTGTAACTGAATCTGTTAAAGAATGTAAAAAATGTTAGTGTTTTTAAAGTATTAAACCTTTTTTCCAGAAAATGCAACCCTATCCTTTAGCTATTTAAGTAAAAAAAAACTGTGTTTTTTTAACCTGTTCCTTACTGAATATTTATGGGAACTTATTATTTTCACAAATAAATGCATATTCTGTGAATTATTTTGTTATAATTTCTTGTGTATTTATTCTAAAATATTTCTCAACTTGCAGGTACTAATTCGCTTGACAGAAAGTCATCTCTGACGGACAGGGCGACCTCCCCCACTGTTGACAATGTGGAAACTGATTCAAAAGTGGACGCTACCCATAGTCTGAAGTATGTACATTTTTACTTACAATAGTATCTTAATGACAAGTTAACTTTTTGTTGTTTAATAAATTTAAATTTTATTTAATAACTGAAAAAATCTTAATGTGTTCTTCCAGACTATGTTCTACAAATATACCAAATTTCGGCGAGATCCATTCAGCCGTTCTAGAGATATTTTTAACAAACATCCATCCATCCATACATTTATAATATTAGTAAGATGAACTAATATAATTCCAGTCAAGACAAGAACCTGATGAACGAGGCGGAGATAACGATAGAGCCTGTAGAGCAGCAGGTGAAAAGTCCGGGCAAGAAGCACGCGCGCCACTCCTCCATGGACCTGGCGCACGGGAACCCCTCCATCTCCCAGCTGCTGGAGAAGTGCGTCAGCAGCACTGACACACTGGACTCGCAGCACGTCCAACACGACGCACACAACTCTCAGCTCCCCGAGGAGACCAAAGATGGTATGTTGTCTTTGTTAACATGTTTAAGAATCTTCCAGAACAGTCATGTGTTGTCAGCTATTTTATTTGAAAAAAAAACAAACAGACGAATTGAGAACCTCCTCCTTTTTTGAAGTCGGTTAAAAAGCGAGACAGAGCTAGGAAAAGGAAAGGAAATATATTTGTAGTATAGAAGAATAGATTCACAGTGTTTGTCTCAGTTTTATATTTGTGTGACTCCAATGAAATATCTTTTGCAGATGTCCCACAAGCGGAGGAGGAGGAGGTGAAAGATGAGACACAGAAGGAGGTGGAGGAGAAGCTGGAGGAGTACGTGAACCACCGCGGCATCAGGTTCACGCCACAGGAGGAGACGCCCAACCTGCAGCCCTACGGCCTCGTCTGTGTCAGGGAACTCTTTAGGTAATACACATAATATATAACTTTCGGTTAAATACTACAACCATTACTAGAGACCAGTAAAAAAGAGAATTGTAAAAAAAACCTAAAAAATAGTGGCAAAAATTTGACAAAGTTCATGAAATGGATTCGCTTCACCAACTTTAGGTTCGTGATATCACTGTGCAACCCGCTGGAAGGCCAGAACACGTCCGCCATGGTGCAGCTGGGGCTGGCGCTGGCGGGCACCGCGCTGGAGGTGGCGGGGGACCAGCTGCCGCGCTACCCCGCCCTGCTGCACCTCGTGCGCGACCCTCTCTGCAGGAACCTGCTCAGCGTCAGTACATGCCTCAGTCATCTTCATAATGCTAGGAAATTGTTCCAAACTTTTGCTTTGTTCCGATTTAAACATATCTGTTGATGTTACGTGACAGGTAATTCTATATAAATTATTAGTACGAATCAACACCTAAGAATCAGCGCTAAAATGGCGGAGATCAAATAGGCACAAAACACTGCTTCTTATAGCCAGTCTATTTATAGAGTTCAGTGACTTCTCACAATCGATCCACTCTCACAAGCTACAGGTTACAATGTTTTTTTTTAATATGTGCCAAAAAAATGATCTTAAGCTAAGCTCCTTCTCTTTCTTGCAGTTATTAGACACGGAAAGGATATCGATATTCGCACTCGACTTGCAAGTGTCCTTTCTACTGTTCGAGGCATTACGGTTCCATCTCAAATTCCAAATGGAGGCCTTCTTCAAGAAGATCATCGAAATCATATCCGCAGACACTTCTAAATCTATCTACGAGCTGAAAGAAATACATCATTTGGCGTTAGAAAGTCTAGCTCAGATGTTCAGGATACCTGGCTTTTGCGCTGAATTATATTTAAACTATGACTGCGATATATACTGCATGAATGTGTTCGAAGAAATAACTAAATTATTATCTAAAAATGTGGTCTCCTCTACCGCTTATAACATACATTCTCTATCATTAGAAGCTTTGATGACTATTATAGAGGCTATAGAAATGGGAACTAGTCAGAAAATGGAGAAGAGTGAGATAGAGATAGTCGAGGAGGAGAAGGGAGTGGAGGTGCTGGGGAGGGGCGGGCAGGTGTCATTAGAGCTGGGTGGCATGGACGACGTGTCAGTGGTGAGCGACCACGTGACACACGACATCAGCCAGTACGTGACGAGCGCGCGGACAGCACGACACAAGCCCACAGGCAAACTGCCGACCGAGCCAGAGCTGGATAATATTAAGAACATGAAAAAGGTAAGCTGAAATTTGAACGAGCGACTAAGGTTTATCATTTACGTAGTCCCTTTATTCAGTTGGATCTGGTGTTGTGTTGCAGTGGGTGACGCAGGGCACTGAGCTGTTCAACCAGAAGCCGGAGCGGGGCGTGGAGTTCCTGCAGGAGCACGGCGTGCTGGCCACTCCCCTCGACCCTCACCAGGTCGCGCTCTTTCTCAGAGAGAACCCCGACTTAGATAAGAAGATGATCGGTTTGTATACTTGAACGTTACTTATTACATTGTGTCATAACTATTCCCTAAAAGTGTACAGTCCAGTTACAATACGAATAATATTAGTGTAGTTATGAAGTTGTTACAATATGGTGTACAGGCGAGTACATCTGCAAGCGGTCATCGCGGGGCGAGGAGGGGACGGGGGCGGGCGAGGGCGTGTCGGGGGGCGTGTCCGTGTTGTCTGCGTTCGCGGACAGCTTCGACTACCGCGGACAGCGCATCGACATCGCGCTGCGACAGTACCTGGAGACATTCCGGCTGCCCGGGGAGGCGCCGCTCATCTTCCTAGTCATGGAGAAGTTCGCAGAGAGGTGGCATGTATGTCATATTACTGTCTTATATAAATATTACTAAAAAAACTCATCTGTTATAGAAAGAGTAAGAGTGTTATTTCAAAGTTCGAAAAAAAGGTTATACTACTTAAGTTCATAGACAAAAAAAAATTTTGGCAGACGACAAACGGATCGCCGTTCGCGAACACGGATGCGGCGTTCCGTCTGGCATACGCTATCATCATGCTGAACATGGACCAGCACAACCACAACGCCAAGAAGTTGAACGTGCCGATGACGGCGGAGGACTTCGTGCGCAACCTGCGCGGCTGCAACGGCACCGGAGACTTCGACCAGCCCATGCTCGAAGCCATCTTCAACGCTATCAAGTGAGACTCGCACTATCCTACCCAGCGCTGTCTTCTTCTTTCATTGCGCTTGTTACATAACTTAGCTAAATAATTCACATTGCAAGTCGTTTAGAGCAAACTATTAAAGTATTTGTCCGAGCAACTGATATTTCTTGATTCTTTTGTGATGGCTCATAGAAATTTAATTAGTAGCTTAGAGGTATATGTGTCTAACCAATTTGTGTGCGATGTACATATAGGAACGAGGAGATGGTGATGCCTGCGGAGCGTGTGGGTCTGGTGCGCGAGGCGTATCTGTGGCGTGTGCTGCAGCGACGCGCGCGCGGGTCCGCTGCCGTGTACCGTGCGCCTCCCCTGCCGCACCACCACTCGCGTTTGCTGCCCCTGCTCTGCCCATCCGCGGTAAAGAATATTCGTATAATCTAAAAGGATGATGCAATATTGTTCCAAATGATGACGTTGCTTTGCTTTAGATATCGGCGTTGTCAGCGGCGTACGAGCGCGCTCCTCAGCCGAGCGCGGAGGAGGTGGGCGGGGCCGGTGCGGGCAGTGGGCGGGGCGAGTGCGTGGCGCTGGCGGCGCTGGGCGGGCTGGAGCGCGTGGCGGCGCTGGTGGCGCGCCTGCAGCCCGACACCGTGCCGCTCGACACGCTGCTGCTCACACTGTGCAAGTTCAGCGGACTGCTGACGCCCCCGCACGCCGGCTATATCGCTATTGGTAAGTCTCCATGCACACAAACATACGTATGTTTCTAAACAAAATTACACTTTGACACCGTACGATGAATTTCAGATTTTTTTCTGGCAACTTATGTAAAATGTTATGTGTTACGCAGGCGTGTCCCTAGGCCAGTCTATGAAGGCTCAGCTGGCGCTACGACGCGCATGCGTGGTAGCGGCTCGACACGCAGACTGTGTGCGCGACGCCTGGCGACATCTGTTGGAGATACTGCAAACCTTGTACATCGGCCGATTGCTGCCCAAGGTACATTTACAAAATGTTTAAATGTCTAACCTAATCTTTCCTAATTTACATTATCTATTATTATATTATCTGTGCGTAGTGCTTAGTGGAGGCGGAGGACTACCTGGCTCCAGGCGGCACCGTGTCTCTCATCCGCGACACGGCGCGAGGCTCAGACGCCGGCCTGCTCTCCAGTATCTACTCCTACATCGCGCTGGGAGAGACTGGTCACTTTTATAATTACATTAATCCATTGGATTGCATTTAACCTCATTTAATTAAATATAATTTATACAGAATCTATTTAACTGTCCATGTTTTTGTAATGTTAGAATAATATTTAAGGAATGCGTGCCCCAACACCTCACGAGAAGGCCCTCATCGACGTGGCGACGGACTGCGTGGTCAAATGTAACTTCCCCGGTCTGCTCATCACCGAAACTAAATTCTTGCAGCTGGAAAGCTTACAAGTAAATTTTTATACTTTATCAAACATTCTGTATCTTCTAAATCATTGATATGAAACTACCATAGAAAATAAAACGTTACATCAGGTCTAGAGTTGAGTGAATTTGGTCCTTCGAGACGGATGAAATGAAAATATAATTTCTTTTGTGCAGGAGTTAGTAAGAGCCATGGTGACAGTCGGCACACCGCCGGACGCTGAAAGTTTACAGTTAAATCCTCATCTAGAAGATATCACTATATTCTTTCTGGAAATACTTGGAAAAACGCTTATACAAAATCGGTAAGTCACGCTAGAACTTTCTAGATTTGACTTTTTATAATTGATAATGAATTGGTTAGTTGTATAGATGTGAGTATTGTATGTATGTATGTATATGTACGTGCCGGTGCGCAGAGACCGGCTGTCGAGCGTGTGGGGCGAGGCGGGCGCGCACGTGGAGCGCGTGGTGTGGTGGGCGAGCGCGCGCGGGCCGCAGCCGCTGACGCGCGCCCTCACCGCCCTGCTGCGCACCGCCGCGCGACTCATGCGCTGCGAGCTCTGCGCGCCCCCAGTGCTGCACCACCTCACCCTGCTCTTCCATCTGCCCTACAAGCTCTTCTACCAGCAAGCCGACGTGGTCAGTGTGCGCTCCACCACCACCCACCATCTCGCCGTGCCGCACTGCTGTACTGACTCTCACTCTCACTGTCACCGTGTGCAGATATCGTGCGGTCTGTACGAGCTGGTGAAGACGTCGGCGCAGAACGTGCACAGCGGCGAGGAGTGGGGCGTGCTGCTGGCGCTGCTGGCGGCAGCGGGCGCCGGCGCCTGGCCGCAGACCACCCGCTCCCGCCCCGACGGGGACAGGTGGCCCCCCGCCGCTGGATGTCGGTACCACCGCATGCACTAATATTGCATAGATGATGCATCGAAACATAAATACGTCAAACGTTTTGTGTTCTCACAGCATCCAGCCGTTCGGAAGCGTCCGACGAGGAGACGGAGAAGCGACCGACCAGCGTGTCCTCCGAGAGCGAGCTGTCGCACTCGCCGCACACGCAGGGATGGATTTTGGTAAGTGTCTCAGGAACTATAATTATTGAAGTAGACATTCGAATGGAAACGCATATAATATAATGTGATTAGGTGAAGAAGGAGGCGAGCGCGGACGGTACGACGAGTGCGGAGAGCGGTGTCGCAGGAGGTCTGTGGAATGCGGAGATAGAGGGCGTGGTGCTGCGCGCGCACCGGCCGAGCGCGCTGGCTCGGTGCGCGGAGGCGCTGGCGCTGGTCGTGCGCGACGTGGCGCACGTCACCCCCCACAACTGTCGCGCTGCAGTGCGCGCCGTCAGACTGCTCGCCCGCGCCACACTGCACCCGCACGGTACACATACACACACACACACACAATGTGATACTGTCGTCACCTCACCGTGTGTATACAATCAGTGTATGATGATGTGCAGGTACGAAGGGTCCCCGCGGTGGGGAGGGGGGTGAGGCACGTCGCGGCAGGGGGCGGCGCAAGGGCGGGGACTCCAGCGACGAGGAGCTGGACACGCTCGACCAGTACCACATGGTCAGCATACAGGTAACTCCATGAAAATATTATTCCTCTGTTATCTGATTATGATTGAAATTTTATAAATTATTATCTGAGTTATTGATACGTGTCAGTATGTGTGAGTAAGTACAATGTGTGTGTGTCAGCTGCTGGACCTGATGCACACGCTGCACAGCCGCACCGCGCAGATCTTCAAGTGGTGGCGCGAGGAGGCAGACCAGGGACACGGTGAGATATCTTACAACATGTCACACGACATCGCTTCACGACTACATACTGACTTCCGATCAAAATCATAAATTATAGATAAGCTACGATTTAGGTTAAAACTCGTAGATTTCAAAATGTTTCCATTAAAATACTATCTCACGTAACTGTACAACATTGGCTACTCATATTTTCAATATTTAACTTTATGCTATCATTCTAAAGGTCATACAATTTTCTGATTCCTCTCATTCTATAAACGAAATAATATGTACTGGTGTTTGTCTGCAATCTCACTTAGCGAATACTTTTTAATTAATATATAATTGTTTGATAAAGGAGGTGAGGACTACGACTTGTGGGAGGTGGCATGGAAGCCACTGCTGCAAGGCATCGCTGAATTCTGCACAGACAGGCGCAGACAGGTATCCTATTTTGTTACTAATTGTCGTTTATCAAATTATTCATATGTTATGAAACTGAAAATTATATAAAGTCCTTCGAGCCGGATAAATAAAATGTTTTGCCTTAAAAAAAATATTTTAGTTCGCTATTTTTATAATCTCTCTCACCAGATTATTTTCTACGTGGATATCGTAAAAACGAAAATTGGATTACTTATACGAACCGAAATAGAAGTTTCTCGATAACTAGGTTTGTGTGAGGAGTGATGGACTGGGGTGAGGAGTGATTGTCAATCAATCGCTCCGGTGAATACAATCTGATAATTTTCTTGTTACCCTCGCCGCAGCTGCGACCCGCTGATAACACCACCCCCACCCCTCACACCCCACACCCCATGCAATCTTAAACAATAACCGACAACCTTCACACCGCTCTACTACACGGGGTGATCAGAGAAAGGATAATTGCATGTCCCTCTCAGTCGTTAATTGGTTGCTATGAGAATTACTGAATGTTGGTTTCACATACTTAATGTATGAATTCGAGATCGGTAGAAAAATCTAAAGCTAAAAATGGCACCAGCGCTGTCAACTGTCATGTGCACTCATGTCACTCCTTAATGATTAGAAGTATAAAAAGCTTAGAAGCAGGAATGCATCCGCAGCAGACAAAATACATATTTTTTTATAATTTTGAACTGAAAACCTTCGGAAAAATACTTATTTTTGAATTTTTGAGTGAAATTTGTTACACGTCTTTGCAATGAATTACTTTATTCTCGATCTGTAAATATGATGATTATGTTGAAAGTGCATTTGTTATTTTTATTTGTTTTGTATTTTATTGTTATAATATTTTTTTTAAACACATTTCCTACAAGTTTACTGCGCAAATGAAGTTTTATCACAAACTTACAGTAAGTATACTATTTATCTATATTAATCGTGTGAATTGTTTTATAGTTATTGTCTAATATTTTCTATTTTATACATATTTATATACTTGTTAACGTTATAGAAATAAAAAAAACACAACTTTGCTATAAAAAGAAAAATAAATTGCCTTTTAAATAGATTTTATCTTCGCCTGTGAATGATTTAAGCCGCATTTAAAATGTCCTAGTGTAGGATGCTGAAAATTGAACGCGTTCTTGCGTCTAATAGAAATGTAATCAGACGAGACTCCGAACTGGTATAAAAGCTCGGTGCCGGCCAGCTCTCAGTCAGTACAGATCCAGCATCCGACGGTGAAACAACAATTCACTAAGGATACAGTTATGTATTGCTGGCATTTGTTACTGCTCACCATACTCTGGTTAACGTCTCCGAGTACTTCGGAACGGTTTAATGGAAGACAGTGCTGCGAACACGAAGACTTCTCTGATACCAGACTTTTGTCATACAGAAGGCTACGAGATAAACCAGCTGATGACAGACATTTAATACGAGGTCCAGATATACGAAATTCTAGATGGAAAGACGATAAAGACAGTTCTGCATTTCGTCGTATTTCTGAAGAGAAATCTACGGAAAGTAATAACAGGAATTTTGTAGAAAGACGTACCACAGAACATGTAGCACACGATTTTAACCGATTTGATACTCGCGAAAAACGCTATATACGCAGAGATGATGCAAGGAATACGCTCCAAAGGTATGATGGTCGTGTCCGAAACACTGCCCGTAGGTTCGAGTTTGGGAATGGACAATTTCAAGGTATGGAACGAAATCCTTTTGATAGAAAAACTGAACGTCAGACAAATAGAGAGAATATGGAAAGACGACAAATCAGGTCTCGTTTTGAATCGCGTCAAGACAACAGGTATGATGTGCACCGTTCAAGAGAACTCAAAGATATTGATGATAACAGGCGCGTTTCTAAAAGAGAAAACATTCGTAAATCAAACTTGGAATCTTTTAGACAAATTCGTGCTGTGCGAGATTTTGATGATAATATTCGAACTAAATTACAATCTGACGAAAGAATGACGAGAGATTCACGAACATTCCACTTAAGTACTGAACACCGTGATACCATTTTAGATCGGCGTTCTTCATTAGATCCTGTTGTAACGAGAAGGTTATCTCCGTCACCAACATTGACTAGGAATAGGATTTCTGTGGCTAATAATAAAGATGGTCATGAACGTGAAATACGTCGATCTCTAATATACCGGGGTATTCAAACCGATCGTCATTTTTCTTCTCTCCCAACAAACATTCGCACATCGAGGTTCCAAGAGCAACGACGATTCTCAAAGGAACGGGATGCACGGCGCATTACCGACCACATATCTACTCGGTCCGTGGAACGATCAGAAAACCTTTCCAGAGAACTGCGGAAAATTGAACTCGATGAGAATCGTCGCTTCGCTCGATCCATTCCACAAAGTGATAGGCGATATGATAACGCACGCCGAATTCTAAGCACGCCAACCAGGCTAATTGAAACTGAAAGCAGAATTTCTAAAGAAGAATTTCGTCCTTCTCATGAACGTGATCATACCAGAAGAGATCGTTCTCGTACAGAACATCGTATGTCAACAGAAAGCCAATCCACATTACGCAGAGATGACCAACGATTCTCCCTTACACCATCAGAATTGATCGAAACAAGACGTATTAAATTAGAACGCTACGTTTCGGAGCGTAGAAATAATCCTAGCGAAGCTAATTCCCATCGCAACTTAGCCGTTAGACGTCAACTTTCTAGATTTTCTATTGAACGTTTTGATACAAGGTTAAGGCATGTTGCCCGCAATGTCGCTGATGATAATGAATCTAGATTCAGTGTTAATAGAAGATACTCTCGAGAAGTTAGTGACGTTTATGGTACGCGAACAAATGTAGAACGTACTATGGATCTACGAAGACAACGTTCCAATACTAGACAAGAAAGAGATCATTTATCACGGGATTCGACAGAACGTGGTAATCGTCGACACGCTACCGATTCCCGACTTGTAAGATACGAAAATGATGCTAGATTATCTGCAAATACTATAAACAGGGAGAATCGTAAACTTTCTTTGTCTATGGATCGAGTTGATATGCGAGATCGGCGGAATCCTCAAGCACGCATTAATGTAAGACGTAGTATGGAATCGAAAGCACGTTTTGTCGCCGAACGCCCTGAAACCAGACGCCACCAAGAAGAACAAAGTTCCCGTTTAGATGTCTCACGATTACGAAGCCTATCAGATCTTGAAGCTAGAGTCTCTCGCCGAATAGATGATACTGTTCGCTCTACAAACTTACAACGAACTCGCATGACTAGAGAAATTCAATATACACGCAGCATTGAACAGAATATGGAATCCCGTGTATTTAGAGAACGAGAACATTCCCGCCGCAGTCTCCATCGTGAGGTTGCATACGCTCCTGAAGAGATCCGAAGTGTTCGTCACAGTTCTGAACGCATTTTTGTTGCCCGTGACCTGCAACAAAACGAAAGACATGAGACAGAACTTTTCAGAAATCTGAACACTGAGCGCACGAATGTTCGACGCAATTTTAATGAACTGTCTCAAAGAACCTCAGACCGTATTGAAAATTATAGAATTGTACGCGATATGTCTCGCTTTGACGAACGACGCAATGTTAAATCAAGATTTACAAGTTACCCTACAGAACAACGTGAGAATAGACGAAATGACGAAAGGAGATTTATGCAAAATGAAAATAGGCTAAGAGACTTTCAAAGTCGCGAAAATATCCGCCAAGAACATAGCGTGTCTGATGTAACACAACGTACAAGGATTATTCGCGAACTCTCCGAAAAAATTAGGAAAAGCGCAGACGAAGGTATCATCAGAAGCGTATCCGAACGAGGTATTCCTGGCGGAAGAATTTCCAAAATGGAACGCACTAATAATCGCGACAGCATTGTTCGCAAGACGTCTGAACGGGTCAAATCTATCGAAAAGCGACAAGATTTTCGAACCGTACGACGAAATGAACGCGATCTATCAAGATCTATTCGATTGGATTTACGCCAAAACGATTTGAAATCGATTAATCGTCAAGTCAGGTCTTATAGAGTAGATACAGACTCCCGATCTAAGTTGGAAGGTCAACTAAATAATATTTTAACATTGGGTACAAATGACAAACGTAATGCGATGGACAATGACCAGCGTAAGGAAGATGGATCGTATATTTTGAACTGGCAACACTTTTTCTACATTATACAAGGACTGTATCTGTGCAGCGTACTTCTACACGTTCACATTAACGATACAAAATCTAAAATAATATCAAGGTATGTATTTTTTGATAATCTTTATTGATTCATAGAAATTTTATTTAAAATATTAAAAGGTGTTTTAAATTTTGAATTAATTTTCTAAGAAATATTTTTATATTGGCAACATCTTTTTATGTCATTGTATTATTTTCAGGAACTTCGGCTGGTGGAAATCAATGTACGGCTTGAAATTGGACTAGGAAGTGCAGACCCTCGGCTGTTGTATACCCAATGATAATGAATAATTGTATCAAAACTCATTTAACCTAATGCATATGTTGTAGCAAAAATAAATATTTATTCTGTTACTTTGACATTTTATTATTAACCCGTACAAATACATTTATTATAACAAAGTGTATCTAATCTAATTATAAAAAATCCTTAAACTGTTGAATTATGTTCATACACAGATCTACAAGATCACACATAATTTTTCTATTCTTATATACCTGTAAATATTTTTTGGCTGTCATTAAAATTTTATAGTTAAACTAGACGATTATTTGAAACATAAGCTTTAGCCTTTTCACACTCGCTTCTTTATAGCAATTTTTTGTTAATTTATCCGACTCGAAGGACCAAAATTTAACTTTCAGTTCGCTATTAGCTAAAGGCGTAGAATATAAATAAGATTGTTATCGAGTATTGTGTCGTCAGGTGGCGAACAGTGCGATCGCGTACTTGCAGCGCGCGCTGCTGGCGCCGGCGCTGGGCGCGCTGGGCGGTGCGGGCTGGGCGGCCTGCTTCGAGCACGTGCTGTTGCCGCTGCTGGCCGCGCCGCCCCGCAGGCCTGACGCCGCCGCGCGCGCCGACACCGTCATGTGCAAGGTCGCGCTCCGTCCACACTCACACTCACATATATATATTCTTCTACTTTGCATTTATCTTTTACATACAACAACTAGTTGATAGTTGTACTAGTTCAGTTACAAATATGATTAAAAGTTCGTCTTAGAAAATAAATGTATACTAAAAGAATACTTGAAGTTCTTTTCATTGACTTTAAGGAGATAAGCGGTATTTTTAATATTGTATGCGTGTGGTGTGCAGGTGTTCCTGCAGCACCTGCAGGCTCTGAGCGCGCGCCCGGGCTTCGGCGCGCTGTGGGCGCGCGTGCTGGGCGTGCAGCGCGCGTTGCTGGCCACGCCGCACGAGCCGCTGCAGGAAGCCGCGCTCGAGTCGCTCAAGAACATGCTGCTCGTCATGCACTCCGTCAGGGTACGTGCGCACATGGCTACATCTTAATATAAGTACAAATCATCTGAATACAATTGTTACTTTGTTACCCTATTGCAGATATTCAACACAGGCGACAACTACAACGAGCTGTGGTACCTCACCTGGCAGATCATATCAGAGTTTCTGCCCACACTTAAAGACGAACTATTTCCCGAAGGTAACCTCAATACGCTCTCATTAAATTTGAATGCCATTTCTAACTTTCTCCATACAAAACAACTAAACATGAATATAACTTGCAGTGAATGACAACACGCGGCCCGCAGCTAACCTGCCCAGCCACATGCAGCCCCCACTTCCCCCAACGCTGCCCACACTCGTGCCCGTCCCCGCCCCCACGCCTTCCCTGCCACCCACCGACACGCCCACTCACGCGTCCCGCCCCCTAAACGTTCAGACGTCCCACGCCCAATCCCCCAACATCCTGGTCGCATCGATGGCCCACTCACCCGTCAACCTCATCCAAACCCCACCCATGGCCACACCCTCACTGGTGGCACCGACACCGATCAATATGTCGGGCTCGGCACCGACTGCAGTCGGCGCGGGACCAACTGCAGTTAGCGCCGTCCCTCCTGCGGCCCCAGCAGTCGGGAGCGCGGCACCTCCTGCAGTCAGTAACGCTGCACCTCCGTTGGCGCCACTCGGCGGGCTGGTGCCGATCCGGAACCCGCTGTATGACCAGACCGGCCTCACGTCCTCTGTGCTATTGCAGCCTTTGAACGAGGTGAGTCCAATCAGCAAAATCATTAAAAGAACTAATTGAATGTGTGCGTTTGCAAGCAAATATGTTGCTTTTTAGGTAATAGGCAATAATTATTTCGGATTTATAGCGAACATTATAAATAATAGGAATTGAATTTGCTTGTTTCAGATGATTTCAACGCCAATCGGCATATCGATACAAACGCAACCACCCGTGTTGTGTCCGAGGTCAGCAGAGACCGCGCACCCGCAGCCGATTGCAAACCAAAACGAACCTTATGCAGGCGTCATAGAGTCCACAATCACCGACACTAATGTTACTAATGCAATAACTGAAACACAACAGAGTGACCTGTACGCCGAGTATTTATCCAATCCCTACAACGAAGCGAAAGAGTTAACAATATCAGATTATGATCCTGAAGAGAATCGCTACTTGCCCGACTCGAAGGACCAAAATGTTCTACAGCCAGAGCCATACAACACTGCGCCTGCGACTGCGCCTGCGCCGCCTCACAAATCCTTCAGCGCGAACACTACGCCCAGCCATAGCGGGAATCTAGCGCAGTTTCTTTCCACTGAAAATGTAAGGAAGGAATCGAGTAGTATTTTCAACTTTTCTAATTATTTCGGCTCCGGAAACGATCTGACTAATCCGGGTTCAGAGCTCTTCGACACCTTGACTGCGGCGCAAGAGGGATAGCAGAGACAACAAATATCTTTTGAATGGGACAAATGTTTGGAATTTTGTAAGGTGTATTTTATCATCCTGAGAACCATGTTTATGTTAGTGATATTTTTGGCACATCATTTTGATCTATTCAGACACAAGTATTATAGAAAAATTCTACCATAATGTCCATCTCATCAGATGAAACTGTATTTTTAAATATTTCTCTAGTAAAATACTAAATTAATCGCTAGTGAAATTATATAACTTGCAGTTTCGTGTTACTTTTTTACATTTTAATTTGATTGTTTAACAATGAAAATCCACTATAGTATTACTTGTATTAAAACATGTTGTAACTGTTTCGATACAAGTATTCCGGCAGTGGAGACACTACCCGTAACATGTTAACTGTGGCCTAATTATTGTGACCTACACGTAGTTTATATGAAATGTATTTAATTGTTAATATATTAGTGACAATTTAACTTATAAAATAAAGCGAGAAACATAAAATATATTTATATAATGATATTTGTTTCTAACATTCCATATATTTCTTTATTTTTGTACAAAATCTTGTAATTTTAATTTTTCTATACTATTCAATATGTTTTACTTCGCCGTTTGATATATTTTTTAAATCTGTAATTATATATCACGATTGGAAGGAAATGTTCAGGGTTCGTATGGCAGGAAGGAAAATTGTAAATTATGTGATTTATCAAATGTTATATGTTTGTATAGAGAGCTCTGTATATCTTATTATTCATGTAATATATGTTTAGAAATTTATTGATACATGTTTCATTTATTCTGACTCTTTTACATAGGGATATATTTTTACTGTGTTACCAGAAGATGGCGCTCGTATGCAGTATTTTATTATGGTATTATTTTACTGACAAACAATCAGCTACAGAATTTATCGTTTTGAGGATATTTTTATTGTTTTTACTCTAATTATTTTTAGAAATATTTTCGATAAGCATTTTACAAACTGTATGCAGTGTATCTTTGACCTCTTCTACTCACGTTTGGGGTACGTGTGCACACACACACACACACAGCGATAAACAAAATCATTTTCTTAGGTAAAAAAGAAAACAGTTCATGTTATATAAAAATCAACAGTATATTATATCAAATTTACACTATTTACAAATATTTGTACAAAAATATCGAGACCGCCTTCACAGAAGGCATCACACTGTTCTTTTTCACTAGTCTCTCACTAGACACTCTTCCTGTAGTCTGTCTGTCTGTCTTACACGACACGAGTCACACCCGCGACACGTGCAGTGGTCGCTTGTAGTAGGGGTGATGCGGGCGCAGCAGCGGCGGCGCGCAGCACGGCGCCTTGCGGGGCGGGC